TTTTAATTTTTTTTTTTTTATTCATTTTTTTTTTGTTTTTTTTGTGTTTTTAAAATGGTTTCAAAATTCAATTATGTTTTCTTTTTGTTTTGTTTTTGTTGTATAATCATCCTTTTCAAAATTTTTCGCTTACAATTAAGTTTTTTTTTTGGTTTTTTTTTTGTTTTTTACAAACTAAATTGATTTTTGTACACTACAAACTACTACTTTTCTTATTAATATTAATTTTAATTTTTTTTTTGTTTCATTTTTCTTTGTTTTTATTCTATCTATCTAATACACTACAAATTTTTTTTTTTTTTCTTTTTATCTTTCACAAAAAAAAAGAATTTTTATCATTCTTAAAAAGCTATTTACAAAAAAAAAAAAAACAGACAAAAAAAAATTATTTAAAAATTTAATTAATTAATCTTAAATTTATTATTATTATTATTATTATTATTATTAACTGACAAGCCAAAAAAAAATAAATAAATCGAAAACAATTCTCAAATCATTTAAATATATATGCACTAATAATAATAATAATAATAATTTTTCAAGTCGTTTAAAAAAATTAAACGTGAAAAAAAAAAAAATGCCAATTAAAATTTTTTTTTTTTTTTGTCTAATTTAAAAAAAAAATTTTTCATCATACTTTCATCAGATTCACATCAGGTTTCTACTAATCATGATTATAAATTTTATCACGTGACAGTAATAATAATAATAATAATAAATTTTTAAAAATGAGAAAAATTTTTAACAAAAAAATTAAAATCCCTTAATCGATATTAGCATGTGTTGATTTCCTTGTTTGTTTGTTTGTTTGTTTGTATATAAATACATCAGGATTATTTTACATGCAAAGAACAATAATAATTTTGTGTCAAATATCGACCTATTTTTCTTTTATTTAAACAAACAAACAAACAAACAAATGGAAAAAATAAACAATCGATTTTAAAATGTGTGTTTGTTTGTGTCTGTCATTTAATCCCAATACAATTATTTAAAATAAAAAAATTTTTTTTTTCTTTTTGTTTTTTTTTTTTTTTTTTTTTTTTTTGTATTCTACGTTACTAAAGTAGAAAAAATAATTTTTTTTTATTTGTTTTATCGAACAGGTTCGTAGTACCTCGTGTAAAAAAACAAAAATAATAATAATAATAATGAAAAACCGTTTTTTAATGAAAACTTTACCAAAAAAAAAAAAAAAAAAACTCAAAAATTTTTAATAATCAATCATATTTTAAGGCATCTTTTTTACATATTTTTTTTTTCTTTTTCAAATTTCAAATTTAAATATATAAATATAAAAGTGTCTAATTAAAATCGGGAAATTCAAAAAAAAAAAAACAAACAAACGTCAGACTTAATAATAATAATAATAATAATAATAATAATAGAAAAACAAATTTTTTTATAAAATCATCTGAGATTTGAAAATAATAAAGTTTTAATTAAAATACAGAAAAAAAATATTATTATTATTATTATTATTTTGTCATTATTAAAAGGCATTTTTTTTGTTACTAATTATTATTATTATTTGTTGTTGTTGTTAAATCGAATTTGATCGAGTGAAAAAAAAAAAGAAAAAAAGCCGCACAAAATTAATTAATAAATAAAAAAAAAAAAGAAAATTTTACGTGATGTGATTTCGGCTTGTCAAATTTTTTTTTTATAAACAAAATCATCATTATTATTATTATTATTATTATTTTCAGTTAAAATTGTTCAAAATTAAATTTAAAAAATTACAATTTTTTTTTTTTTTTTATATTCTTAAAATTAAATTTTTATCCTTACAATACTAATTTTTTATTTATTTATTTATTTAACTAATTAAGCTAATTTTTTTTTATAATGAACCGCTAATAAAATATGCAGTCGAAGAAAAATTATAATCACCTAATTATATCATTCCGTGGTCTCGTTTTTTCCAATTCAATTCATTATTATTTAAACAATATCCTTTATTTATCATTATTATTATTATTATTATTATTAATAAAATATTATTAATTAAGCATATCGATTTTAATAAATGATTTTGTACACGCACCAAATACGCGTGTGTACTACTACTCGCTTTCATTTTGTTTGTTTAAAAAAAAAAATTTATTTATATAAAATAATCATCATTTTTTTTTTTTATTTATTCTAACCTGATTATTATTATTATTATTATTATTATTACTATTATTATTATTATTAATAAATTAGTCTTTAAACAAATCCATTTGGTTGTTGTTGTTGTTGTTAACATTTTACTCTATTAAAAAAAAATTTTTTCATTGGATCTTATAATAAACGTACCAATCATCGTTTGTTTTTATTTATTCGTTTTCGTTTTGTTTGTTTGTTTGTTTCACTCAATCGACCACTAGACAATTATTTATACTAATATTTAATATCCGTTTCATTTCGCCCAAAAAAAAAAAAAAAACAAACAAAAAGAAAAATTTTCTTTCTTAATCAGTACGAATTTTCTCATCATCTCATTTTCCCTTTTTAATTTTGCGTGTGTGTGAGAGAGAGAGAGATAGAAAAAAATCAATCGATAATTATCGATTTGATTATTTGTATATCATCTGATATAAAAAGAAAAAATTTTAATTAGAAAATTATAGAAGAAGAAAAAAAATTAAAAAAATTAAAAACGTTTTTAATTGGTTGGTTGATTCTTTTCTATCAAAATATTTTCTAATTATTATTCTACTATACATAATATTATTATTATTATTATTATTATTAATCGATTTTTTTTTTTTTACGAAACAAAAGTCGTTGGTTGGCCCATGTACTTAATAATATACATAAATAAATAAATAAGATGATAATAATAATTATTATTATTAAGACAAAAAAAAATTCACAAAATTATTTTTTCATCTTATTTTAATACAAAAAATAAACAACCGAAAACAAACAAACAAACAAACAAACAAACGGACAACAATGAAAATTTAATTTATTCGACTATTAAAAAAAGCAATCAGTCAGTAACTTATTATTATTATTATTAATAGAGTTTCTAAATCGAGTAAATTGCCTTAGAAAAATAATAATAATAATAATTTAAAATAAAAATAAAAATTTTTTTTTTTTCTTATTCCGAAGGCATTTTTTTTTTTTTTTTTAATACATAAATGCGGCACTGATCGTTACGCCCCTCCCTCCCTCCCCCCGCAATTATCCCGCTTTCCCCTCGCAAAAAAAAAAGTAATGATGATAATAATAATAATAATTTTTCGCTCTATTTAAAGTAATAAAAATTTTTTTTTATTTCAAATGAACGAACGAAAGAATGTTTTCTTCCACCGCCACATCGACGACGACGACGACGACGACACGTATTCATTCATAATTACGAGTCGCGTTTTAGAAAACGGAAATAATGATAATAATAATGATAATAATAATAATAATAATAACCGAACGATTAACACGTATAATTAAATAAAAATTAATTTAGGACACAGTCTGAATGTCGATTTAATCTTTGGCGTGAATGCATGTGAGGGACAAAATAAATATTTTCAATATTATTGTTATTATTATTCGTATTATTATTATTATCGTCGTCATCATTATCATCATCATCATCGTTATTTAAATAACGGTTTTTTAAATGTTGAATGACAAGATCGAATGTGAGAATCATTCCAATACCCTTTTCTTATCACTCACGAGTAACGATTTTAATTAATTAATTATTTCACGACGACAAAACATTTTTAAAATTTTCCTTTACATATTATTAATAATAATAATAATAATGATAATAATAATAATAATAATATGTATTCGCGAGTGTATGCATGTCACGTTGCATATACATAAATTTTTTTTTTTTTTTGCATATGCATCGCAGACAAGAAAAAAATTTTTGTTTTTTTTTTTCGTTTCCCCCTTCCTCCCCTCCTCTCCTAATCGATTGATAAAAAAAAACTAAAATAAGAAAAAAACCCTACGAAGGCCAATAATAATAATAATAATAATAAATTTTACAAATACATATTCTATGTATAAAAAAAAAAGAAAAAAGAAAAAAAAATTTTCCTGAACGATTTCATAAATATTTTTTTTTTTTTTTAAAATCACGTGATTTTTTTTT